TGAATTTTGTTGGTGTTATAAATATTACCATTTCATTTACAACCTCCGTTTTGGTTTTCAGTATCCCTCTCCAGGTTACAATAGATAGATAGATAGATAGATAGATAGATAGATAGATAGATAGATCTTGGTACGCGCAATCGCGTGATTGTTTTGATATATATTTAAGTATGTTTATATTGTTACGTATGTTAGCAACAAGGAACATTTAGAGAAAATGGTTTAAGATTTCTGGTCCAAATAATCAGGAAAGATGACTTGGAAAATCTGATACTCACAGAAGAGAATGAAAGCGAAGGAAAACAACGCATAATATACTCTTAGTGAGCAGCAAAACAGGGTTTCAGAGAAATAACAGAAAGACATAGTTTATTAAGAACTACAAGTGACAGGAAATTGTAGAAAGCTATGGTCGCCCTTGTCCTGGATGGACACGACACACAAAGACTGGATTAAATAAGTGTCTCCTCAACTGTTTGGAACACACCTGTACTATGAGCATTGATATATGCATAGTTACTCAATGCAATTTAGTTTTACCAGAAATATGGAGCAACCAATGAGAACAAAACACACTAGTTACGAAACAATCTTGCAAAGCATTACTCTACAATGAAACACTGGTGCAGGGAAAAACAACGCATAACATATTTAGTGGGTTTGATTAAATGAATGGCGGAACAGGGTTTAGGAGAAATAAAAACGACAAAGTTTATTCAAAGCTACAAGGGAAAGGAAGCTGTGGAGAGTCATAATTGCCTACATCAAGGAGGAAAACGGTAGATAAATAAGAAAAACAAGTGTATAGTTATAATAATGTTATAATCATTCAGTATATATATATATGAAAATGTATATAAATATAAATAAATATATATATATATATATATATATATATATATATATATATATATATAATTATTTATATATTATATGCGCGGTACTTATTAGAAAGCGCTCAATATCAGAGATAGAGCTAACATATTTGGTTGGATTAATGTGAGTTTGTAACCCTGGGTTCCACACTTTTGCGATCGTTAGACAAACTGATTTGCGTTAGCACGATGACGTCACGACGACGATCCCCCCACTCCCATAATAACACCAATACACGTAATCTACATAAACCCAAATTTTTTAAAAATTAAATAGTTTGTCTGGCGATCGCAAAAGCGTGAAACCCAGGGTTACAAACTCACATCAATCCAACCGAATATATATATATATATATATATATATATATATATTGGAATAATGTTTGATACCACAAAACAAATATAATGATTTAAAAGAAAATGAATTTCTTTTGTATGACCATTTTTTTTTTTTTTTTTGCAAAAAAAAAAAAAAATGATCATACAAAAGAAATTCATTTTCTTTAAATCAATATATATATATATAGGGTGTTTCATTAAAACGGATTATATATAAGGGTGTTTCATTAAGACGGATCAAAGTCAAGAGTAAATAAATCAGTGTTTTTGGTAAAAATTTATTTATTTCTCTATTGGATCATGTTATTTAAGTCATAGCAATTATGCGTGAAAAATAATATCGCTTAAATGTCCGCCAAATCTGAAAGAAAAGAAAAAATCATTGGGCCCTTAAACTTAATTCACATTTAAAATCGGTCCAAGTTATTGGAACACGCTTTATTTGAAATTTGCTTTTATAGCTATATATGTTTCTGTATTGGTGCCAGTGTGTGTGTGTGTGTGTGTGTGCGCGCGCGCGCGTGCGCGTATGCGCGCATGTTCCGTTTTCTGTCTGTGTCTTCGGGTGTGCTATCACCTTTAGATTCTTTGCAGATATTGTGCCTCTTAGAAAAAGTTGGAAGGACGATGCTTGCTTTCTTATAAGTTTTTTTTTTATGTATTTATATTTATTTATTATACCATTTCTTCGATTTTTAGGCCAAAAAGTATCGACAATAATACGACGAGCAGAAGTGTGATCACCTATAACTTGCATCTGCAAAGAGTTGAATAAAGTGAAAATAAATAAATAAAAAACAATCACAGCACGAGACGCGAAAATATAAGAAAGAAAGCAAAAATGGACGATATAGTAAACACTATTCAGATTTATTGCATTTTTATTGAAAGTTTTCTATCAGGAGAATATCTTAGTCTTCATTTCTAGCAAAAGAAATACATTTAAGAGAGCTCGACCAAAATAAAGTGTTGATATTTGTCCCGCCATCTTACTACAGCTCTTTGTCCAACATCTTTGTTGATTCTTTCATTGTTTGACTCGTTTTTGGTGAATCCATCTTTGTAAAACAATGTGAACCACATTGTCTTTACTGCATTAACAAATCTCTTTTGTCATTTAATTTTTTAATGTTACTTATTTTCTGTGTTTGCGTGTGCGATCTTAAAACGATGATCATTCTTTTTAATCCTCTTCTATTTTCTTTCTTTTTTATGCTGGTATTTGAATTTACAAAAGCATCCATTTTGTTTCTAGATGCAATATCTGTCCCAATGAAACGGCTGCAATGTTTCTCTTTCTGCTTTCTCTTTTTTTTGTTACTTCGTGTTCGTTTTTCGCTAAAAAAAATTCTGCTTTCCAAAATTCATTCACACATTTACCATTTTTTTCTGTCTACGTTTTTCCGTCTTTCATTTTCCTCCTCCTCGCTTTATATCACACGACTGCTTTCTTTAGACACTTTTTTTTCTTCCAGTTTGTTCCAATATTTCCTTTTCTCTCTCTATCTCTGATTTTATTTTCGTCTTTGTATCTCTTCTCTCTAATTGTCTCTCTTTCTTTCTCTGTCACACTCTCTCTCAGTTTTGATTTTTTTCTCTCTCCAAATGAACTTCGAATTCGTAATCTTTCTCTCGCTCTTTGAATCTCCCTTTCTCTCTTGCATTAAACTCTTAGAATTTCGATTAGACGTTTCTTCTTCCTTCTCGTTTACTCCTCATTTTTGTTTGCACTTCTCTTTCCACAGTTTTCTCGTTTTTTTTTAAATCCATTTTATCTTCTCTCTATTCCCCTACTTCTTTTAATTCTTTTCATCATCTTTACCCTATTTTTTCGCCAATTCTCCTTCCATTTGCCGCGTTTTTCCAGGGCCTTTCTCAATTTTTATCACTTTATCCCAATGTTATTTCTGTCTTCTCCCTTATAGTCTAGCTTTCTACGTTTAAAAGAAGCAATGCCAGACTTTCATTTTCTCCCTCTCCTCATATCTTTTACTGCTTTTTATTCAAAGCTTTTATTTACATTTAAGATATTTTTGACGTTCCGATTTTTTTATTATTATTATTATCGGTCTTCCAAAGAAGTTGTTGCATTTTAATATTTTTTAAGTTTGTATTTTAAGAGCGTTGTCGATATTTTTTGCCACCATTTTTATGGGAGGAAAGAGAAAAAAGCATTTTTTTCGACGTTCGATTTGCTTTTTTGTTTAATTCCCCAACCCATCACAGCGGAAGTGACCAAATGCGTACTTTGAAAAAAAGGCACGCGACACATTCGATACGGAACCCACAAACTCTCTTTAAAAAAATTCTCATTTTATTTTATTTATTTATACTTTATCCTTCAACAACGTACATTTTAAAATTTGTCTTTTTTATTCATTTTATTTTATTTTGGCTTTTGTCAGCAAGTAAATGTGTGAGTAGAACCAGAGAGATGGAAGGGGAGAATTAGAACACAAAATCACGTACAACTGCAGCAAAATCCGCAGTTAAAACATGGCGTTAATGCAGTTCCCTTTCACCTCCTAAAAAGCAGTCTCTTCTGCTTCAGACAATTTTTTTTTCTTTTTTTCTTTCTCTCTTTTGGATCGTTTTTTTTTTTTTTTTTTTTTATTCGGTTAATCCTATATTTACTTTTCTTTTTTTCTTTCTTTCTTGTTCTCTTTATTATCTTTTCATAGCCTTCTTCCTAAGCCCCCTAATTTTTGTTTTTCCCTTGACACAACAATATCTATCTACCAACGTGGGTGAATTATTAAAGCTGTAGCCTGAATTTTGATCTGAAATTTTCACTGTATAATGCTCGTACTAATTAATGGACAGGTTTTAAGTGCGTTGACAAGGAAGGACTTGACTTATCCTTGTATTTATCAACTTCCTAATCATACTCTCTCTCTCTCTCTCTCTCTCTCTCTCTCTCTCTCTCTCTCTCTCTCTTTCACTTCTCGTCTGTTTAACGATTTTCTCTCTAGTTTAGCCATATGTTTACAAAGTTTAAAAGAACGAATAGTGAAATAGGACTAGGAAGATTGTGTTGTGCCTAATACATTAAGAAGTGTAGGGACCATCTTTTCCTGAAAATCATTGTTCAATAACCTTGAGTTTTGACCATTAGCTACAGCGAGAAGTCAGAAAAGATATTTAGGTTACTAAACTTAAATTAGTCTACCATATGATTACCCTAAAAGGCACCCAGCGAGTATCCAAGTCATAACTCTAAATTAGTTTAAAGAACGAAATTGCTAATCATTGCGCTTCGGCAGACGCCCAGTTATTCAATCAGTGTTGTTTATTATTTAAACTATTTATATTTGGACCTCCTCATCTCTATTGTTGTTACGGCAACATTTATGCCGTTGTTCCCTCTGGCATTGCTCAGGGGTATACAGGGAATTCTGAACTGAATTCTTTATTTAATCCATAGGGAGGTAGATTGTTCTCGTTCCACTGCTCATGTCTAGGGATATCATCTAATTCTTATTTTATAATTGCTCGCCCGTTTCCACTGAGGCCGAGTACACACCGTCCGACCCAGGGATTGAACTCACAACCACTATGCCATCAAGTTCACAGTATTGTTTAGTTAGACACAAAATCACAAATGTTTAACATATAGAAAGGACCCCCACCCATTTCAATAATAATAGTTTAAGACACCAATAGTCTTTCTTTAACTCTTCAGTTTCCCTTTTCCTTTTAGTCTTCCTCCATTCATTCCCTTCACATCTCTCTCTCTTACCATCTCTCCCCCTCTCTCTCTCTTCTTTCTTTCTCTCCTTCCCTATCTCTCCCTCTCCTCTTTCTCTCTATTTCTTCTCTGTTTCTTTTTCTTCTCTCTTTCTCTCCCTCTCTCTTTCTTCTCTCTTTCTTTCTCTTCCCTCTCTCTTTTTCCCCCTCTCTCCCTCTCTCTCTATCCTGTCTCTCTCTTTTTCCTCTTTCTTTCTCCCTCTCTCTCTCTTCCTTTTCTCTTTCTCTCCCTCTCTCTGTCTCTCCCCCCTTTCTATCTCCCTCCCTATCCCTCACCCTGTCTCTCTTTCTCTATTCATCATATTTCTTTTTCTCTTTATCCATCTTCTGCATACACCCACTCGTCTTATTTATTTACTCTCTCGCTTTTACTCGCCTCTTTTCACTTCCCTTTTCACCCCCCGCTCTCTTTCCGTCTTTATCGTTTATCCACATTTCCAACAATTCAAACATCTTAACTCTCGGTCGCCTTTCACTGACATTTTTTCCTGTTTACTTTAAAAGATTTTCTATGCGATTTTTTATAATTTCAAACATTTTCTGGTTTCCCTCATTGCACTCTTTCTTCCTGCCTTCCTTTTACACAAGATTATTCATATGCACTGTCATACACACGCGCATGCGTACACATGAACAAATATAAAACGTGCAGAGAGCGATCTATTACAAACGCACCCCTAAATGTTATCCAAATAATTATAAATAATGAAGCCACTTATATATAATGCGGTCTGCTAACATACGACATGCCGATAATATGTATATATATATATATATATATATATATATATATATATATATATATATATATATATATAACAAGAACCAGACAGATAATGTATGTATGTATGATATAGCTGAAGGTATGAATGGAGAGATGAATGCAAGGATTCTGAACCTGACTGGTGGAATAGATGAACGAACGGTAGAAGGTATGAATGGCTGAAGGAATGGAGGGATGCATATAAGGCTGGAGTGATTGAGTGATGGCGGATTATACAGAAAATGATGGTTGGATGGATGGTTGGATGGATGGATGGATGGATGGATGGATGGATGGATGGATGGATTGACAAGGTTGGGTGGATGCATTGATGGATAATGTATGGTTGGATGGGTAGACGTATGGTTGAATGCATGTTTGGATGGATGGATGTTTGCGTGGAGTGATACAACACTAACTATTAAAATGGAAAGATGGCTGGCGGAAGTAGGAATTTCGACAAAGAAAATTTATATCTTGAAAATATTTTACTTAAAAAAGCAGTTAATCTGTTGTGACCTAAATAATAATAATAATAATAATAATAACTCTATTAAAAACAGCCGTGAATAACTGCGTTAGAACTAATTCCATAAGGACTAAAACAGACATCGTAGAACACAATTGTAAATGTTGCTTATGAATGAAACTGTTATTTGCTCAGAACTACAACAATCGGGGCATTTTATTATTATTATTATTATTATATTTCGATTTCTGCTATGGCGATACTACCTACCAAGTCTGCGGGAAGGCCTAAAGCAGATAGTGGCGTATTGCTATGGCTACATTTCATGAGTTGTTTTTCTAACTTCCATAACATCACTAGCGTTACATAAGTTCTTCTTAGTGTGTGGGCTGTACTTATCAAAACAATTGTTTGTATTTCTCTTAAGCTGGGATTTCCAGTGTTGTTGTGTTGTGTTCCTTTTTTATCATTCCAAGCGCACCTACTATGACTGGTACTATTCTTGTTTTTTTCAATTTCGACTTCCGGGTTTTTATACCACGATAGTTTTTCAAATTCCTTGTTTGATATGTTAATGTCCGCTAGGCAAGCCATATCAGTTACTAGGCAAGTTGTTTTTTTTCTTTTCGGTTTTTGACAATTATGTTCAGCCAATGTGATGCCGCCAAGACTCAACTAGAGATTTCAAGGGAAAACATGTTTTTTTGTATCAGGAGATGCCAACAGATTAGGTCCCATCCAAACAAGAAGAAAAATCTGTATTTGTTACCATTATATGAAGAGAAATATATGCAAGTACCAATAAGTATGATTCTGTGCAATTCCCATATTTTGGGTTAATTAGGAATTTGATGCACCTATTTGTTCATTTTTAATGTTATTCCTAAAGCCCCACTAATAATAAAAGGTAATGTTGCCGTCTTGCCACAATTTATTCAGTTCTACCCCGAGGCCTTTGTAGTTGCTTAGTTTCGCAAACAATTTTAAAGATATGTTTGTATCAGCTGGGGATGAAAGATCTAACAGAAGACATAGATTTTCAACTTGATTTTTCACAACTGTGAATAGTCGATTTGCCGGGATTTCCCTAGAAGTCTGAACGGTATATGACTGGATTTATCTGAATGTCAAATCGGAATGTTTTTTTTTTATTATTATTATTTTATACATTTGCATACCAGATGATTGGAGCTTATTGTTGGAGATTGAATGAAAGCAAGTCTCTTTTTTTCTTTTTTTTTTTTAAGCGTTTCTCTCCAAGCAAGGCGGGAAGCCACTAGGACGCAAGGGGTTACAGAAGATTTGGAGCAAGATCAGATAGGAGTGATAGAGGAAAGGGTGAGGAGAAGGGTAGTGGATAGATCAAGGCAACTGGAAATGTCGATTGACATTACACTTGAATAGTTGGAGATTTTAGCTCTCAGGGAAACTGGAATAGGGAAGGGAGTTCCACAGGCGAGAGGTGCGAGACATGAAGCTATTGGAGTAGAAGAGACGGCTACATTTAGTAGTTTCAACAGTGAAAGGGTGAGAGCGGGTCTTCTGATCTCTTTCAGTTTCCTCACAAGCAAAAACAACGACATTGTTTAGACAATCTTAATTCATCATGGAATTTCTAATTCATCAAAGTTTGATCACGTGATTTTGGACACTGTTCCAGGTGTGTTAAGTATTATAGGTACGACCATAAACTTCATGTTCCACTGCTTTCTCAGTTCTCAATCAAAATTTCTGGTATTTCTGTCAATTTTCGGCTACTTTCGCTTTCACCCTGTGATCGACAGACATAGTCAAGTCTGTGATCAGACAGACTTTATTATCCTTGTCTGCGAAGATCAGACTCGTCTGCTTATCTTTACATTTCTTATGAATTGGTTGGCTGAATTGACATCTTTTCATTTCTCAGCTTTTTTTAAGAAAGAGAAAATAAACAAAACGAGAGTGAAGACGGTGAAGAATAGTAGGAAGTAACAGAATATGACAAATACAAAACAAGGGGGGGAATGGGGCAGAGAGAAATGAAAGGAAGGAATGTCGAGAAACTAAAAAGAAAGATGTGTGTAAAATGGTCAATTCATTTTCAAGCTGTCCAGTCCTCTTTGTCCAGCCTTGATAGAGTTCAAAATCATCTACTTGGAGGTATATTCTGCAATGTCTACCCCAAAGATGAAATGTGACAAACCTCTTGCTACTCTGTGAATTGGGCCACAAATAACAAATTGAGTTACGAATAATGAATCGGGCTACAAATGATGAATCGGGTTAAAAGTATCGAATCGGGCTACGAATAAGTGAATCGGGTTGCGAATAGCGAATCGGGCTACGAATAGTGAATCGGGCTGCGAATAGCGAATCGGGCTACAAATAGTGAATCGGGCTGCGAATAGCGAATCGGGCTACAAATAGTGAATCGGGCTGCGAATAGCGAATCGGGCTACGAATAGTGAATCGGGCTGCGAATAGCTAATCGGGCTACGAATAGTGAATCGGGCTACAAGTATCGAATTGGGCTACGAATAGCGAATTGGGCTGCGAATAACGAATAAGGCTACGAATAGTGAATCGGGCTACGAATAGTGAATCGGGCTACAAGTATCGAATTGGGCTACGAATAGTGAATTGCGCTGCGAATAGCGAATAAGGCTACGAATAGTGAATCGGGCTGCGAATGGTGAATCGGGCTGCGAATAGCGAATAAGGCTACGAATAGTGAATAGGGCTACGAATAGTGAATCGGGCTACAAGTATCGAATTGGGCTACGAATAGCGAATTGCGCTGCGAATAGCGAATAAGGCTACGAATAGTGAATCGGGCTGCGAATAGTGAATCGGGCTGCGAATAGCGAATAAGGCTACGAATAGTGAATAGGGCTACGAATAGTGAATCGTGCTGCAGGTATCGAATCAGGCTACGAATAACACTATTGAGCATACGAATTAACATTACATCATCGTTATCGGAAAAGAGGAAGTGAGTATTTGTGAAAAAAACACTCTTTTGTATCTCCTTACTTGCCAGACAGTAGCAGAGAATTAAAACTGTTCCACCACTTCTCCACCTTGGCAAAGACAATTCGAAAAGAAAAGCGAATGTAAAATCCAGTATTGGTTCATTGTGTCGTGCCAGACAATCTTTCTCGTCCAAATCCATCTTTTACATTTATAAATCTACCATTTGAACGTTCATTGAATATTGCTGCCATATTTGGTCTGGTGCTTCTACTCTACATCTCAAAATCCGAAGAAGAGTCTGTAATATAATCGATCCTGGCCTGTCATCTTGTTTACAGTCACGTTCTCACCGACATGACGTGACTTCCCTCTGTCTTTTCTACAAATATTTTCATGGTAGTTGTTCTAATGGGTTTTCCTTCCTGGTGCTTCGAGTGCATCAATTGAAGTCTGTTACTAGATTGGTAACTAGGTCTCAACATTTTTAATGTTGAAATAACTAGATGCAACCGTTTGCTCAAATGTAATAGTTTTCTTTGCTCACACTTCTCACCTGTAGAACTTCTTCCATCCGATTTCTTGCTTGCCTCTCAACTACAATCTTCAAAAATTTAAATGTAACGCAAATTGCCAGTTCTTTTAGTGTCCTTTCTTCTCATTCTCTTTAGCTCTCAGAAACCATTTCCGCCCTAGTGACAACATTATCGTCTTTCTTGAAGTGATATATATATATATATATATATATATATATATATATATATATATATATATATATATATATATATCAATTCAAGTAACATAATTTCTAATTTGCAGATACATCGAAACATCAGCGCAAGATAAATATATTGAATTCATTAACAGGTTTCACACATATTATTAAAAGATATATATCATGAATTATTTATTATTCATTTTAAATAAATAAGTCATTCTTACACATTTATAAATCTACCATTCGTCCATACATTGAGTATTTCTGACATATCTGGTCTGGTGCACCTAATATATATCTCGAGATTCTTGACAAAATCCGAAGAAGGGTCTGTAATGTTATTGATCCTTTTAATTGCTGTTGCTCCCAGATCCATCCTGACCCGGTGTGGCAGAACATATTAGGGCCCCAGCTATAGGTAAATACTGAATCCTCAAACTGGGATCAAGACACTATGAAAGTATAAAAATACATTTTTATAATAAAAAAAAATCCAGCAGTGGATTTTAATAGCAAAATAAAATTTAAAAAATATCAAAGCTCGCAAGAAAAGACAATGTCTGCATTAAATAATCCATAAGAAGATAATATGCCGTTAAACAAACTAAACGAAACCATTTCAACCGTTGTACCTACCTATCTTCTTTCAGTGTCTTCAAGTGTCCCAAATCAGGCTGCCCCCTCTCACCGTTCGGGGATCTCGGGAGTAGTTCGCACTGGCCCTGATGCTCACGACCGGTTCGAAATTTCAGAAAGGTTACCGACTACGACAGACACCTGAAGAAGACCGAAGCGTACAACGCTCGAAATGTGGTGACAAAACAACAATGATCAGGATACCAATTCGAGTAACTGTTAATCTAACAGATTCAGACAAAAATAATGTAATTTATTAAAATGTGTTATTATAGTTTCGTCTGCTGCTAAAATTTACAATATTTCGGTGATGTAAATATTATTGTAACGTTTTCAAAAATATCCACCCATTTCTCCCTGATAATCACACCTTAAACATTTCTACCGGTATTTTTTTCCCTGTGGTACAATGATGCGTGTTTCCCAGCTATATCACCGCCATTATATCCCAGCCCTCTCCCTGGTCTACGATCGTTACACATGATTGGCGCTCTGGTCGGATTGTGTTGTCGGCTACAATCTACCTTTTGCAGATCCTTTTTTTCCGTCCATGGAATGCAAAAGTGCGGCTAATGGGAAAAAGCTTTTAAGGTGGTATGACCATTACTCAAGATGGAGGTGGGTCGACAACCGAATAATAATAATAATAATACATCGATCGAAAGAAGTGTTCGTCTCTCTTCAAACCATCTTCCACGCATCTTTTCGTTCATGCTCTTCGATACAAAAAGCTATTCTTCCTCAATTTCTGAAATATTTTTCACTCTTCCTCCTATATTTTTTTTTTTTTTTGTCACAGATTTCTTTTTTTGTGTGTGCAGATTTGTTTGTTGTTTCTGCAATTTCTTTTGAATGTCCCCCCTTTTTTTATTTTTGCTTGCAATGCTTTTAGTTTTTAATTATTTTTCCCCCTTTATCTCCTCTCTTTTTCCTGATCTTTGTTCTCCGTTATCGTTGTCTTCTTTTTCTGTAATCATTTTTTTTTTCAAATTCATTTTGTCTCATTTCTTTCTTTTTCTCTATTCTGTTTCTTTTTTGCTCTTTCTTTTCTTTTTTTCACTTTATCGTTTTCGTCTTTGTTATTGACACTTTCTTTTATCTGCGTATCCACGCCAAAATTATGTGTTGACTTTTCTTTCACTCACAGGCTTTCTTTCATATTCCGATTTCGAGTCAAGAAAATTTGAATTGACTTTCTATTACAGGTTTTTTCTTTCTTTTACAGATATTTCTGATCTATCTCTCTCTCTCTCTCTCTCTATATATATATATATATATATATATATATATTATATGATAAAATTTGATATTAAAATTAAAACTGCCAATTTTAAAATCCAAATTTATTCACTATTAAGTTTAAAAACTATAAAATTACTGAGGAGAAAAGAAAAAATACGTGTTATTCAATTCATTTCTTCGTTGAAATTACGTTAGAACAGACGCTACAATATCCGGTCATTTGACAATACATGTATATATATCAAATTTTATCAAATATAATTTAATAATTATTGGTTAGAATAAATTCTTTTTAATATTACCCGTATTTTAAAGATCTGAATAGCTATTATAACATGATTTCGTTGTAAAGCTTTTGAATCTTCCTATACTTGGGTTTTGATTGGTCATTCTAGGTTTGTAACAATGTTTTCCCCTAGCGAAGGATCGTTAATTAATTTGAAACTTTTAAAACCATTTATTTTATATTCAACATCATCACTTGATAAGACACCGAGGGTGTTGAAACAAAATGGCTATTTTTGTAGTGATTTTATAACATATTTATGTTATAATTTTTTTTTTTTTTATAAAAAATAATTATATCTGCTCTACTTTGTATTGAGCGCTCTTTTAAGAATAGTAATTGTTGGTTATTGGACTTCATTCCGTATACACCAATTATATACTTGGATATATATATATATATATATATATATATATATATATATATATATATATATATATATATATATTACAATAAGAAGTAAATTAGTAAAGTTAATGAGATAAAATGGTGAATTTACTTCGTTAACTAAATTCTAAAATGCTTTAACCCACTAATCACTCGATGAATGTTATGATACTTGTTTTTAAAATTATAAACTGTATTAGGACTTCCTTAAATACGCAAGTACTTTCGACAGTGCTTTTAAACTGCGCCACATAACTAGTTTAAAAGAACTGATCCGACGTGCAAACTTTCGGGGAAACGACTGAGACATAGCTCTAGTTATTGAAATATTTTGTTCATGCCACGTTGACTGATAAAATTCTACAACAAAAAAGAATTCTTAAACTGCCATATTCGTAAAAAAAATAAATAAATAAAATTAACCTTAGCATCGCGACTGCACGCTCCACAAGGTTGTATCTGTCATCAATAACACATTTCAAAAAAAATATATTTTATATTTTGCATTATATTTTTTTCGTCTCGGATGTTAGCTGAATTTTTCCAAAAAGAAAATAGATTCTATGCCTGATGATGACCGGACAACTTGCATATTTAAGGAAGAAACTAATACAGTTTATAATTAAAAAAAAAACGAGGATCATAACATCATCGATTTTAAAATTTGGTTACCGAAGTGAATTCGCCATTTTATCTCATTAACTTTACTAATTTACTTTTTTGTATGAATGATTCATTGTAAATATGTATTAAAATGCACCATATAATTGATATATATATATATATATATATATATATATATATATATATATATATATATATATATATACACACGTTCCTACTAAAATTAGAAATCATACCTTGCCGTTGAATGGACTCGTCCCGAACACCTATAGTTCCGCCATATGCGAACACCTATTAAAGAACAGAGATTGTGCAGCCAAATTTAGTGTTGACTGGTTCACCGTGTTGTCCCGGTCTCACTCTTTATTTCATCTAAAGGTAATGGAGGCACTTTACATCGGGTCCCGCAAGCCTTCTTTGTGCAAACAACGTGTTTGTTGGGACTCGCTGTCATTTGTCTCTAGTTCCTTTGTCATATTTTTTTTTTTTTTTACAATTCCTTTTATTGTACATTTTCCTGTGTCAATTTTAAATCTCCCGTTGAAGCCTGAAGAGCGGGAGCGAAACCGGTTGCTTCACCCGTTTTTTTTTAATATGTCTCGTAATATTAAGTTTTATACTTTTATTTCGATCATTCATATATATATATATATATATATATATATATTCAAACATGCTTCATTGGAAAATTACGTTATATTACGTAAATTTATTTTTATAATAATCCTTTCTAGTTCTTTAATCAGATTCTTAATGTTAAGATTAAATTCATCAAGTAAGATGCCGTAGTTTTATTCTACCCATGTACTTCCGACATCATTCCCAAGGGCGAATTACAAAGACAAACTTATTGGAACTGTTATCGTTGTGATGTTGACATTTAAAAACACGCGTGAACTCGCTCTGCTATAATTATTTTAAAATTTTAAATTTATCCGTTGTAGCTAGCAAACTTTTTCAAAACCTGCGTCCCAATATAAGAGAGCTAACCAGAATTGGTAGAAATACAAAATGGCATTAAATCTTGGTTAAATGCACCTCAAAACTTTACCTCTACACTCGTAATAATATATGTTTATATAATTCAATGAAACATGTATGAATGAAGATATGCTGCCTTTAAATAAAAATATATATATATATATATATATATATATATATATATATATATATATAATGTCATCCACATACAGGCCTGTTTCGCTGTATCACAGCTCATCAGTACGGCTAGACATCCGACTGCTTCAAGCCGGGATCTAAACCCGACCGATTTGGCATCACTCGGAGTGATGGGAAAAGGATATTCTAGCGTATTATTTTTTACGAATGTAAACAAACGCCAGGCAGCCATAGTGCTCAATTCATTTTCAGTGAAGAGCGTTGCGTTAGCGGAGACGGCTGCTGTTTAGAATTACTCTATCTCTCAACAGTGCTCAACCGAAATTTTTCGAGAGAGTAATAATGTCATCCACATACAGGTAATAATCCGTAGGTATATAATCCAAGTGAATCCTATTAATACAATATAAAATATTAAATACTAAAACTGATTCACACAGAGCCCAATGTTTTAATCAAACAGAGCAACACGTTTTTATACAATAGGAATTAAGTTTACATTAGATCAGTGATCATTTTCACCTATTAAATTGAAATAAAATTTACAAGGATTTTTCAAACCAGTCAGCGGGTAAAGTAATAGTGAAATAAAACTGGCCAATTCCCTTCTTTCCTTTTTCTGTTTGGTCAGTTTTTTTCAATATTTTATCATACATTGACTGGTTTGAAAAATCCTTGTAAATTTTATTTCCATTTAAAAGGCGAAAAGGATCATTGACCTAATGTAATCTTAATTGCTATTATATATATATATATATATATATATATATATATATATATATATATATATATACCTCACTTCAGATCATCACAATCATTATCCTCTCTCTTTATTTACTTTCTCCCTTCTGGTGACGGTGGTGGTGGCGGAGATGGCTGTAAAGGACCAGCTTGCTCCTGAAGAGTTAGTCAAAGAGAGTTTGACGAGGCTTTTCGCGCGAATTTGATTCTGATGAACAACTCTGCGTCAGAGAAGCCCACACACTTGGCCAGATGCGTTTCCCTCGAGGAGATATCTAGCAAACGTGGTTTCATTTGGTTGTTGGATGCTGTCAAGGTCCGCCTCGGTTACGCCAGCCCGACTGACACTGCCCTCTTCCGCCGGCTTGGTCGTTGAGATAATGCAAATCTTTGCCTATTCCACTGTTGAATATATACGTATATATATATATATATATATATATATATATATTTATATATATATATATATATTGTCATCTACAAACATACTGTTTCGCTGTATCACAGCTCATCAGTGTGGATAGATATCCGATTGCTTCAAACCGGGATCAAAACCCTATTTAATCGACAGCAGTCGGAGATTTTTCCCCACTAAGCCATCGGCGCATGATTGAAAGAAAGGCGAATTTTTAAGTACTTATTCTGTGAATAAATACGCCAATGATTGATGATATATATATATATATATATATATATATATATATATGATAACAAAGTAGTTTTATTGTATGCTATATTTATGCGTTGAAGTGCTCAATATCAAGGATAAAGCGTATGTAAATATAAAAATGGCAATTGAGCTCAACACTTAGCGGCGACGGTCTGTTTCATGCTTAAACACAATCGTTAGGCCATCTTCGAACATTCTGAACTGGCGCTACAGAATCACAGAGAAATGTACTGAAAACTAGAAACAACATCGCTTGAAGACTTTCAACAAGAACAACAACTAAAATGGATATCACGTAAAACTCGAATAGAAAATAATCAACACGCTACCATTCCTTACTGCTGCAACTAAAAGTTTAGGAAGGAAACTACCTTCGATGCCGGAAAGAGCGATAACAGCTACTGGAGAGGCATATTTTACTGAAAAATCGTTTTAAGAGAAAAATTTTATAAATTTCAACCAACAGAAGTACTGGCTACTCGGTAAATGAATGCCGAATGTTTATTCATAAGGAAACGGCTAACATTCATATATTACCATATCATGCACGTCTTCTTATTCATTATTCTTTTTGTTTTTATGTAATTTCTTTTTTATATACTTTCTCCTTTATCTCCATCGCAAGGAAAGTTGTTTCTCTATGTCGCGCCAGAAAGTTTTTCTCGCCCGAGTCCATCCTCTAAATCTATAAATCAACCATTCGCCCTTGCATGGAATACTGCTGCCATATATGGTCTGAAACCCATGCTGTTCGTGTTAATGTCCTTGACAACATCCAGAGATGGATATGCGATGCAATTGTCCCTGATCTGGCATCTCGTCTATAGTCGCTCTCTCACAGACGTGCAGTCGCTTCCCTCTGTCTTTTCTACAAATAATTTCACGGTAACTGCTCTGACGAGCTACTTTCGCTAGTTCCCAGACTGCATGAATTTAAACAAGCTACTAGGCTGCCATCTCGATCCTACCCTTTCACAGTCGAAAAAGTTAAATGTAGCCGTCTCTTCTACTCCAATAGCTTCCTGCTTCGCACCTCCCGTCTGTGGAATTCCCTTCCTATTACTTGCTTCCCTGATAGATATAATCTCCAACTATTCAAGTGCAATGTCAATCGACATCTCCAAATGCCTTGATCTATTCCCTATCATTCTCTTTCCTTTACCACGCCTCTTTACTCTCGCTCCCACTCTCTGTAACCCCTTGCGTGCTAGTGGTACTCCCGCCTTACTTGGGGTGAAATGCTTAAAAAAAGAAAAAAAATCCCTCCTTGTCTTGATCCCGCACTTCTCTCTCTATTTCTTCTCTTGTTCTCTCTCTCTCTCTCTTTCTCACTCTGCCTTTCTCTTTGTCTCTTTTTCTCTCCTCTTTCTGCTCTCTTTTCCATTTCTTAGACTCCTCTCGGTCTTCCTTCCTTCTCTTCAGTGTGTTAGTGATCATGCCTCTCCACAATTTCTTGTCCTTTGTAGCTCTAAATACATATTGTTTTTTTATTATCTCTCCTAAACCTTGTCCCCCCACCCATTCATTCAAGCTCACTACGTAGGTTATGTATTGATTTCTTCTGTCCACTATTGCCTTCTACCTGTCCTGTGAGTATCAGATTTTCTATGCCCTTTTTCCTCATTATGGAACCTAGAAATTCCAACTATCTCTTTATTACGTTAAATATAAGTGTCCTTTTTGTTTCCATTTTCTCTAAAACTTCATCGTTGCTCACTTATTCGATACATAGTATTCTCATCATCCTTCTGTAGAAACACATTTCTGTTGATTCAAACCTCTTTTCTGTAAGGAGATTTGTCTAGCATTCACATATAGGAGCACTAGTCCTCCTATAATAGCATTACATAACATTCCAATACTCTTTTCTTTGTTTCTAATGAAACGTTCCTGTTTCTTCATACTTTGCTTAGCTTTTGGAAGGCATCTTTTTGCTACACTCTTGAAAACGTTGTTCTTTATAAATAGTCAAGAGACAAGATGAAGCCGGATATGGCGTATATCTTTTCTCATCCCTCTTTCTTCCTCTCTTTCCTCTCATTTCTTTCTTTCTCTCCCTCCTTCTTTTACTCTATCTTAATCCTTTTTCTCTCTGTTTTTTCCTCTCTTTCCCTTCCCACATTCATTCCCTTCTTTCTCTCTATCTTCCTTTTTCTCCCACTTTTTACTTTCTTTACCCTTCTCACTTTCTTTCTCTTCCTCCTTCTTTCTCTCTATCTTCATCTTTTTCTCCTTCTTTCTTCCTCACTTTTACCTTCCCACTTTCTTTCTCTCCCTCCTTCATTCTCTCTATCATAATGCTTTTTCTCCCTATTCTTTCCTCTTCTCACTTTCTTTTTCTCTATCTTAATCGTTTTTCTCCTTTTTTTCCGCTCTTTCCCCTTCCCTCTTTCTTTCTCTTCCTCCTTCTTTCTCTATTTTCATCTTTTTTCTCCTTCTCCTTTTATCTAACCTTTCTTTTCCTCTTTTTCTCTCACTAACCTACGCGAAAGAAAATAAAAATATGGATTTCGGTAAAGTAACAAAGCTGGAACGCAAGAATACTTTTTTGCTTTCAACGCTGTCTTTATTTTATCTTTTTTTCAAATCAACTGAATAGATTTTCTTCCATTCAGCCATTTTTTTTTTCTTTGTATCTATCGGTTTTCTTATTTTATGAAAATATAGTTAGCAGGTACTAAGGGGATGGTGGCAGATTGAATTCAAACTAAAATAGCTGAATTTTACAACTCAAAAGTAAGGTTTTAGAAAGGCCAATAGATTCCATTTGAAAGAGGCTAGCTACGCAAAAAAGGATATGGAACTTGCATCTGACAAGTCCCACGGTTTACAAATACCCAGGCACTAATTACAGAACGTTTGATGGCTAAAAGGGGTTAGATGGACAAATGGACAGCTGAGAATCGAATGGACTGGGTTTATTCGTAAAAGAATAGCTTGGTGGGTGGTTGTAGAAAATATCAAAACAAAACAAAAAGACAGTGAGAAAGAGCAAAAGGTATGTCGAGGGAAGGTAATTTTTTAAAAGACTTTGTTGATGGAGTGAAATGACAAAAGAAAAGGATGTTTAGGAAGGAAAACCGTTAATAAAGAATAACAGGTTTGACTGAAAAAGAAAACAGATACCTGCCTTGCTCTTGATATGTTGCATAATTCGTGGTGCCAAAAAGAAAACAGGAAACGGGAGATAAACAAATAAAAGATGAGAAAGAAGGTTACCAATCAAGAAGCAATATTTAAAGAGTATATCCATTCATCTGTCCTCACCAGGTACCTCACATTTGAGGTCTTGTGCCAGACTAAGATTAACTTAGTAGATATAATAACCTGCTTGGTGAATCAGATAAATGTACATAGCTTAGGGTCACTACTTCTTTTTTTAATCATTTCACCCAGAGCAAGGCAATAAAGCCACTAAGACGCAAGTCGTTACCGAGTGTGTGAGAATATGAGAAAGAAAAGGAGCGAGGACAAAAAAAAAAAAAACACAGAAGAGAGATGATAAGGATTGAAATTACATTTATTTATTTATTTTTAAAATTAAAATTAACTAGAAAGCCTGAAGCCAGAAGAAAGTTTTAAAAGCGGGAACTGGGAGAGAAGAAACTGTTAACATAGAACTTACATCTACCCATTTCAAATGTAACACGATAAGACCTTGCCAATTTAGTCTACTTTTGCACGCAAGTCAAGCGTATCGGATATCCCTACACACAAGCTGCTAGTAGCCCGCTGGTGAGCCGCCGATAACAACGCTAGCGGTCCTCTGATGGCAGTCACCAGCAAGCCACCAGTGTGCCTCTAGCGGTCGCCAGTGATAATATTGCCGAGAGGAACACAGCGGCGGTCCTAAAATGGGCCACCAATGGTAAACGCTAGTGGCATGACACCCAGTGGCAGATTGGTGGATTGCGTGTAGGGATATTTCTCTTATTTTACAGATTTTTTTTTTTTTTTTTTTTTTTTTTTACCCCAAAACATATTTCTGAAATACATCTAAAGAATATCGTCGAATCCACTTAAAGAACCTCTAAAGAGAACTGTACCTCCCGACAGTAATCGAACCTGTATCCCCTTTTTTACCGGGGAAACCACACTTATAACAGTCACCAGATAAATTTCAATCATCTATTTTTTTTAAGCATCTCACCTTACGTAAAGCAGGAGTATCACTAGCACGCAAGTAGTTACAGAGAGTGAAATTAAGAGAGTGAAAGTGAAAGTGAAAGTGAAAGAGAGAAGGGTATTTGAGGAAAGGAGAAAGAGAAGGACGGGGACCAAGATCAAGGCATCAGAAGATGTCGATTGACATTATATTTAAATTTTTGAAGATTATAGTTATCAGGTAAGCAAGTAAGAGTAAAGGAGTTCTACTGTCAAGAAGTGCAAGAGAAGCTGTTGGAGTAGAAGAGGTGGTTACATTTAACTGTTTCGACAGTGAAAGGGTGGGATCGAGATGCCATCCTAGTAGCATGCTTAAATTCATGCAATTGGGGCACCAGTGAAAATAAGGAAACACATATCTCTTGTTGGGACCTTCACTAATCTATATCTGCTAGCTTCAGTTTCGTACCTGAAACCTAAACAACAGTAATTTTAACATTTATTTCTTGTTACTAGAAACATTATTTTTAGTGGGTAGACGTGTTTGGGTTGCTATCCATGTTTTAGTATATTTCCTTAAACAATGAAATTAATAACAACCGGCTTCGATCGATAAATCCTACTAAAAAAAAATGTGCGATTCCTACCGGAAGACACGATTTTATATATATATATATATATATATATATATATATATATATATATATATATATATATATATATATTAGTGGGGGAAATCGGTGTTGCTCGAAGATCTCTGAATAGTTTATTATTGACAATACACACTTACACACACACACGTTAATTATTGTAGTTTTTAAGTTTTAGCCGGACACACACACACACGAATATTTGAATAAATAAATAAACTTTATGTCAAATTCTTTTAAATTTAGTTTCTTGTTTTAAAATTAACTTTTTATATAGTTACGCTTTTATTTACTCTTGATATGAAAATAAATTCAAGAGAATAGAAATTTTAAAAATACTTACTTGTATAGCGTTTAGCAGAATAAAAAAGTGAAAACGAACGGTAAACCGATTCGAGAATATGAATTATTATCGTTCGTTTTTACTTTTTAATTCTGAGAATTTCGAATGCATTCTAATGCATTTTAATTTTGAAATATCTTCGTAAATACAAATCATACGATAGTAATTTTTTTATAAAAAATCTGGCTTGGGTGATAATGTGTTTGTATATAAATTTGTGTTGTCACGAAATACTGTATTTTTTTTAGTTTTAGCCGGACACCCACACGCACACACACACACACGTACAGACAACTGACTTTTATATATGTATAGATAGATGGTTCCGTTGATAACATTTCTTTCTCTCACGTGGTCATGTATGACGTCATAGAACCGCATTACGGTTATTCCGCGACAGTTATCGTTGCATAGAAAAATTCTGTGTAAACAAAACAGATTGTCATCTTTGACGGCGAACATCTCTGTTGAAATGTCAATATAACCACTCTGATGATGGCTCATGTGAGTCGAAACCTTTGATCGACGACCAGTATAATAAAGAAATATCCAAATGTTGGATAGTTTTTTGTCGTTATTTTTTCCCGAAACTAAATTCATTATACGATACGACGCATGGAAAGGTTCATGATAAAACATTCGTTGTCTGTTATATTTAACAATATATATTTGAACATTTGAAGGTCCTCGGGTTACGTCGGACCCGACGTTAGGCGTTTCGTAGTTACGGCGCCATCTGCCACGCAGCGCTATGTAAGGAAGACGGCGTTGTTTCTTCACCGGCTGTACGCCATACTGGAGTGTGCTACATTCGATATCTTTCGTTTGTGTCGTTTTGGGGGAACTTTTTGGCCTTCATTATGACTCCCAAGCGTAAGGCAGATTCGTGGGTGATTATATAGGTGAGTTCCGACCGACGTCGGAAATCAGGTTACGTCGTTCCGTAGAAACGGATCTCCAACATCAGTCGAGGACCCTTATATATATATATATATATATATATATATATATATATATATATATATATATATATATATATTATAAAAGGTTAGAAATAAATAACTGCTGTGTAAGAGAAATACTTCTTTTCATCATGAGGTTACGGATTCCTTGATGTATCTATGTATTGTAATGCGATTTTAACACTTCACTTCCTACTTTGACAAGGTTAATTACTTTGTGGATTTAAGATGCAAGTCTCGCCCATGGAGTGTGTAAAGCAAATCAGTGTTTTTCAAGCGCTTAATTGTAAAAGAATGATCAAAGTATATCTTACGCGTGGTTTGAGTCTCAGACGGGAAATTACATACGCTTTCATTGCCAACAATATGATTTTATGTTTCGACATTTTTATGGACGACGATAAATATTCTTATTTTTTATATATCTACCAAAAATAAACCATGTTTACTGAATCGAACAAAATGGCTCATTTCAGAAATTTATATATCATTGTGTATATTAAAGAAATGTAAGTAAAAAGGAATGGAATGATGTAAAAGTCTCATTCCTTTCCTTTTCTCTCCCTTTCTTTTACTTTCTATTGCTCTCTCTCTCTCTCTTTCTCTCTCTCTCCCTCTATATATATATATATATATATATATATATATATATATATATATATATATATATGCACATTAACTACAAACAAGATGAATCTTCACTTAGAAATATTCTAAAGAAATACACTATCCCAACTGACCCGAATAAAAAAAAATTTAATTAATTATCTACTAAAAAAATTTAAAACAACTAACATTATCTTCAAAAATAACAACACACCAGCAAAGTCAAAATTACAACGAACGAACATTATCTATGAGTCCAAATGCCCCCTTAAGGAATTGTGTTCCTGATCAAATCGAATTCATAAATAATTACATCGGTCACACGACTACATGCCTATCTAGACGCCTTACGTTACACCTATCTGACCACTGAGCTCTATTAGGAGCCATTTAAACACATACACAAACTTACCGGACTCCATCTGAAACATACTAATAGAAAATACAAACATAATAACCTCACCCACATGTAAAATTAAAATTAAAAATAATGGAAGCCCTTAATAATAAAAAAGAAAAAAACAACACTTAATATTAAATAGGAACACGGCCACAATGTGCAAACTGTGTACGGAACATAAAACATCTCTATAACACTAAAAACATACACGCAACACACACACTCATTTAAACTGAAAAAAATAAAATCGTCCTTGATAATGGCTAAAAGTATAGCCGAAATTAGTTTTTCGTACTGAAAATAGTTTTTCGTGCTGATTTCATCGGTACCCTTTCGTTTGACATTGTTTTATTGACCAACTTATCTACAGTATTATATATATATATAGTTCTGTTAGTTCTGTTTGATATATATA